TATGATGTTGGCTGTGGGCCTGTCATATATGGCTTTTATTATGTTGAGGTATGATCCTTCTATTCCCACCTTGCTGAGAGTTTTTATCAAAAATGGGTGTTGGATTTTGTCAAATGCTTTTTCTGCATCAATTGATATGACTATGTGGTTTTTTTCTTTCAATTTGTTTATGTGATGTATCACGTTTATTGATTTGCGTATATTGTACCATCCTTGCATCCCTGGGATAAATCCTACTTGGTCATGGTGTATGATCTTTCTGATGTACTGCTGGATCCGATTTGCTAAGATTTTGTTAAGGATTTTGGCATCTATGTTCATGAAGGATATTGGCCTGTAATTCCCTTTCATTGTGTTGTCTCTACCTGGTTTTAGTATTAGGGTGATGCTGGCTTCATAGAACGAGCTTGGAAGTGTTCCTTCCTCTTGAATTTTTTGGACTAGTCTGAGGAGGATAGGTTTTAGTTCTTCCTTGAATGTTTGGTAAAACTCCCCTGTGAAGCCGTCTGGTCCTGGGCTTTTGTTTGCTGGAAGCTTTTTGATGACTGCTTCAATTTCTTCCATAGTTATTGGCCTGTTGAGATTTTTAGATTCTTCCTGATTGAGTTTTGGAAGATTGTATTTTTCTACGAATATGTCCATTTCCTCCAGGTTGTCTAATTTGTTGGAGTAGAGTTGTCCATAGTATTGTTTAACAATCATTTGTATTTCTGTGGGGTCTGTTGCTATTTTGCCTCTATCATTTCTGATTTTGTTTATTTGGGTCCTCTCTCTTTGCTTCTTGGTGAGCCTGGATAGAGGTTCATCAATCTTGTTTATCCTTTCAATGAACCAGTTCTTGGTTTCATTGATTTTCTGTAATTTTTTTTGGTCTCTATGTCATTGATTTCTGCTCTAATCTTTATTATCTCCTTCCTTCTGCTCACTCTGGGGTTTTCTTGTTAATCTCTTTTTAATTCTTTGAGTTGTAAAGTTAGATGATTTACTACCATTTTTTCTTGTTTTTTTGAGATAGGCCTGTAGAGCTATAAACTTCCCTCTCAAGATTGCTTTCATTGTGTCCCATAGGTTTTGGATTGTTGTCTTTTCATTGACATTCATTTCCAGGATGTTTTTAATTTCTTCTTTGATCTCATTGGTAACCCAATCAATATTTAATAACATGCTATTCAGCTTCCAAGTGTTTGAGTATTTTGGGTTGTTTTTATTATAGTTTATTTCTACTATTATGCCATTGTGGTCTGAGAAGATGCTTGGAATGATTTCAATCTTATGGAATTTGGGGAGACATTGTTTGTGACCCAATACGTGGTCTATTTTTTAATATGTCCCATGAGCCCTTGAGAAGAATGTATATTCCGTGGCTTTGAGGTGAAGTGTTCTGAAGATGTCAGTTAAGTCCATCTGATCTATGGAGTCATGGACTCACTACTGGCTTAGCAGTCATGCTGTGTCTTTGCTGATTGTTTGTCTAGAGGATTTATCCAGTGATGTCAGTGGTGTATTAAAGTCCCCTACTATGATTGTATTGTTGTCGATCTCTCCTTTGATGTCTTCCAGGAGTTTTTTTTATGTATTTGGGTGTTCCTGCATTGGGTGCATATATGTTTATCAGGGTTATATCTTCTTGTTGTATTGATCCCTTTATTATTATGAAGTGACCTTCCTTTTCTCTTGTTATGGCCTTCACTTTGAGGTCTGTTTTGTCCGATATAAGTATTGCTACCCCAGCTTTTTTTTCATTTCCATTTGCCTGAAAGATATTTTTCCATCCCTTCACTTTCAGTCTGTGTGAGTCCCTTCTTCTGAGGTGGGTCTCTTGTAGACAGCAAATATATGGGTCATGTTTTTTTATCCATTCAGCCACTCCATGTCTTTTGGTTGGAGCATTTAGTTCATTTATGTTTAAAGTTATTATTGACAGGTACTTGTTTGTAGCCATTTCTTTTTTTGTGTGTGGCTGTTTTCTTTCTGAGATTTTTATTTCTTTTTACACCAGTCCCTTTAGCATTTCTTGAATTTCTGGCATGGTGGTGATAAACTCCCTTAGCCTTTTTTTGTCTGTGAAGCTTCTTATTTCCCCTTCAATTTTGAATGATAGTCTTGCTGGATAAAGTATTCTTGGATTCAGTCCTCTACTTTTCATCACTTTGTAAATTTCTGTCCATTCTTTTGTGGCTTGATATGTTTCTGTTGAGAAATCATTTGATAATCTAATGGGAGATCCCTTGAATGTAACTTTCCATTTCTCTCTTGCAGCCTTTAAGATTCTTCCTTTGTCCTGAATATTTGCCATGGTAATTATGATGAGTCTTGGTGTGGGTCTTTTTGGGTTCACCTTGTTTGGGACTCTGTGCTTGTGTGATTTTTTCTTCCCCACCTCAGGGAAGTTTTCTGATATTATTTCTTCAAATAGGTTTTCTAAGTCTTGTCCCTCTTTCTGTTGTTCTGGCACCCCTATTATTCGTATGTTGTTTCGTTTCATGTTGTCCCATAGCTCCCTTAGGCTCTCCTCCTGTCTTTTAATTTTTTTCTCCAATTGCTGTTCAGTTTGTGTGTGTTTTGTTTCCCTGTCTTCTAATTCGCTAATTCGTTCCTCCACTTCTCCTAGTCTACTGTTGAAACTTTCAATAGTGATTTTATTGCAGCTATGTCACTCTTCATTTCTTCTTGGTTCTTACATAATTTATTGATTTTTTCATGTTTCTTCTTGCTTCTTGCATAAGTTGTTGATTTTTTCCTCCATCCAGTTTATGCACTCTAGGACCCTTAATCTGAATTCTTTTTCTGTCCTGTTGCATGCCTCTGTATCACTTAGCTGCTTTTCTGGCAAGTCCTTCTTTTCTTTCCTTTGGGGGTTTCTCTGTCTACCCATGTTTGATCGTACCGCCATATCTAGATGTTGAGTCGTTCAGTGGCTGCTCCTTGGGTGGCAGTGGCTCCTCAGGCTGCGGTTGCTCCTCAGGCAGTTGTGGTAGCAGCTGCTCCTCAGTTGGTAGCAGCTCCTCTGGTGGGTGCTGTTCACAGTTGTGGTGGCTCCTCTGGCTGGTGGGGGGAGGCTTCACACACAGCTGAAGTCAAACTTTTTCAATAACTGCAACAATATTGTAATATTAAATTCATTGTACATATGAATATTTCAAAATGAGCAAATTTATAATAGAGTGATAAAGACAGTACTGGTTTTAAGGAGACAGTGTTTCAAACATTCATATGCTTGAGACCGTCTAAATCGGCCGTCTATACAATCAACGAACAGCTTTTCATTCCTCATACCCATAGTGAGGTTTGATTTAATTACTCTTTAATTAAACCTTTAAATCTTTAAATGCTAGATATTATTTAAATGCCTCCTCAGAGGAGACATTTGAGGACATTGCTAAGCCAGTATTGAGTAAGGATGTTCCTCACAGACCCATTCTGAGGGAATGAAAGGGTAACACCTCCATTTCCTTCTCCTTCAGGCACTGATGAGTCAAGGGAGCTATATATATAGGGCTTGGGGAAGACTGGGCTCCAAGTTACAAGTTCTCCTGAGCAAGCAAGATGAGTCAAAGATCTTCCCAATTATATCATTGGGGATAGTTAGTGTGGTATGGAAGAGTTAACATTTTCTTTGGGAGGAAGAAGGAAATAATTTGAATTGAAGTATCTGGAAGAAATGAATGATACTGTCAACCAGAAGGACTCCTCTTCTTTCCCATTTGCATATCTTCTACCAACTCACTTTCTAATCACAGGAATGCCCACAAGAAGCCCAGAAATGGCCACAACGCCTCCAGATACACCTTTGGAGAGCATAATCAGCCCAACTACCTCACAACTGCCATCCACTGTAGGCAACACTATAAGCAGGGTCACACCTACTGCAGTGGTAAGTAGCTCTAGAGTAATTTTATCACGGAAGCCAGATCTTGCCAGCAAAGAATCAGAGAAGAGTTCTTCCCAGCTTCCTGCCACAACTTTTGCAGATCCAGAACATGTGTCCAGACCAGAAGCAAAAACTTTTGAAGAGATTTTTTACACGACGAGAACTCCAGGTCCAGCTTTCCAGAATCAAGGGCTAAGGACTCCTACAAGCAAGGGAACAGAAACATCTGATTCCTGGATGGAAAAAGAAAGCTCAACTTCAAGCACATATATTAACACTAAGATTATAGATGTCTCTTCTGAATCAGGAAGAACCATCAAGGAGATTAATGACTCTGCAGGCTTATCAAGGTCCACAGATCTACTGAGCACGAGCTTGGAATCTGGGACAAATTCATCTTCAAGGAGCACAAATAGCACATTTGGGAAAATACCACATTCTGAGCCCAACATAGACTTAGAGATAGCTCACTCTTCTACAAACACAGTTAAGAAAAGAGAATGGATCACAAGATCTGAATATAATCCTCATTTCATTGACCGACCCGACTCAGGAGCACCCCGAGAAATATCTCTAATTGATACTGCCTCTACCATTGAGAAAACTAATCTTTTCATATCAAAAAATACCTGGCCATATTGCAAAAATAGAACAGAGCGTGATTATTCCCTAACAACTACATTAAGAGGGTTCAGTAAATACGTGATCAGCAACTCAAACACAGAGGAAAACATAATCCCTTCAAAAAGTGTTATTAGTATTACAAAAGAGAGAAACAGAGAAACCACAAATTTGGACCGAATATTCACTGAAGGAAAACCTCAAACTACAAGTTTATTACCGACAACCAGGATCTCTAATCTCCCACCCACAATAGAAACAGAAAGTAAAAACACCATTAAAAAAAAAAGACATTCAGGTAAAAAATCACTCAACATATTTTCTGTGGATAAATCATCAACACCCCTCTTAGCAGTGAAGCAAACCTTCAAAAACACAGATGAAAACATACTCCCCAAAAAGGGACGCAAGGATGTGTCCAGGACACGTCCTCCCTTTGAGGAGACGAGCAGCTCTTCCTCCGTGCAATCGGCCCCTAGCACAGCCTCCCCATCCCCAGTTTCTCCTACAATACGTGAGGGCGCGTCCTCCCCTCCTCCTCTCGTCACCTCCGTTTGGACCTCTGGCCTGCAGCCGGCCACTGACGCCTTGGGCACAAGCGTGGATCCCGGAGCCCGTTCCACTCCACATGTGAGCGAGAGCACAGCGCGCAGCCTGGACTCCACCGCAGCCTCCACAGGTACAGGTGCAGTTCACCTTTCGGGACACACAGCTGAGACCAGTGTGGGGACCACCAGGTCAGGACGGGAAACACCTTCCTCTGTGCCAGGTGAGTCAGCGCCAACCGAAGTGACTTCTCCAGTGGCGACCCCTTCCGTCACGAGGGAAAGCAGAGTTTCCGCACCAGTGCCCGGCTCTTCGGAAACCACTTGGTCTGAGACAGAGTCAGCATCCTCCACGAGGCCCGGCCTGAGGGAGGCCAGCACCTCCCAGCCCGTGAGCTCAGCCGCGGAGACAATGCCCGTCTCTTCCCACGTGCCCACTGGTGATGGTGCTACTGAGGTCTCCGGGACAGAAGGCATGTCCTCCAGCGGGACATTCTCCTCTGGCCCGGCACACTCCTCCATGTCACCAGACATCTCCACAGGCATGCGGGGGCTCTCGACATCCCCAGTCATGACAGGAGTCGCCGAGGGGACCCTCACCACGCCAACTGGTCACCCTGGGGCTACGTCGCCGGGCACAACTCCCTTGGACACATGGACCACCGCCTCCAGCCCAGGGACTCACGGGGCTGCGACTCAAGGTTTCACACGCTCACCGGTGACCACTCCCGGGAGCAGGGGCCCGGAGAATGTGTCCAGGACACGTCCTCCCTTTGAGGAGACGAGCAGCTCTTCCTCCGTGCAATCGGCCCCTAGCACAGCCTCCCCGTCCCCAGTTTCTCCTACAATACGTGAGGGCGCGTCCTCCCCTCCTCCTCTCGTCACCTCCGTTTGGACCTCTGGCCTGCAGCCGGCCACTGACGCCTTGGGCACAAGCGTGGATCCCGGAGCCCGTTCCACTCCACATGTGAGCGAGAGCACAGCGCGCAGCCTGGACTCCACCGCAGCCTCCACAGGTACAGGTGCAGTTCACCTTTCGGGACACACAGCTGAGACCAGTGTGGGGACCACCAGGTCAGGACGGGAAACACCTTCCTCTGTGCCAGGTGAGTCAGCGCCAACCGAAGTGACTTCTCCAGTGGCGACCCCTTCCGTCACGAGGGAAAGCAGAGTTTCCGCACCAGTGCCCGGCTCTTCGGAAACCACTTGGTCTGAGACAGAGTCAGCATCCTCCACGAGGCCCGGCCTGAGGGAGGCCAGCACCTCCCAGCCCATGAGCTCAGCCGCGGAGACAATGCCCGTCTCTTCCCACGTGCCCACTGGTGATGGTGCTACTGAGGTCTCCGGGACAGAAGGCATGTCCTCCAGCGGGACATTCTCCTCTGGCCCGGCACACTCCTCCATGTCACCAGACATCTCCACAGGCATGCGGGGGCTCTCGACATCCCCAGTCATGACAGGAGTCGCCGAGGGGACCCTCACCACGCCAACTGGTCACCCTGGGGCTACGTCGCCAGGCACAACTCCCTTGGACACATGGACCACCGCCTCCAGCCCAGGGACTCACGGGGCTGAGACTCAAGGTTTCACACGCTCACCGATGACCACTCCCGGGAGCAGGGGCCCGGAGCAAGTGTCCAGGACACGTCCTCCCTTTGAGGAGACGAGCAGCTCTTCCTCCGTGCAATCGGCCCCTAGCACAGCCTCCCCATCCCCAGTTTCTCCTACAATACGTGAGGGCGCGTCCTCCCCTCCTCCTCTCGTCACCTCCGTTTGGACCTCTGGCCTGCAGCCGGCCACTGACGCCTTGGGCACAAGCGTGGATCCCGGAGCCCGTTCCACTCCACATGTGAGCGAGAGCACAGCGCGCAGCCTGGACTCCACCGCAGCCTCCACAGGTACAGGTGCAGTTCACCTTTCGGGACACACAGCTGAGACCAGTGTGGGGACCACCAGGTCAGGGCGGGAATCACCTTCCTCTGTGCCAGGTGAGTCAGCGCCAACCGGAGTGACTTCTCCAGTGGCGACCCCTTCCGTCACGAGGGAAAGCAGAGTTTCCGCACCAGTGCCCGGCTCTTCAGAAACCACTTGGTCTGAGACAGAGTCAGCATCCTCCACGAGGCCCGGCCTGAGGGAGGCCAGCACCTCCCAGCCCATGAGCTCAGCCGCGGAGACAATGCCCGTCTCTTCCCACGTGCCCACTGGTGATGGTGCTACTGAGGTCTCCGGGACAGAAGGCATGTCCTCCAGCGGGACATTCTCCTCTGGCCCGGCACACTCCTCCATGTCACCAGACATCTCCACAGGCATGCGGGGGCTCTCGACATCCCCAGTCATGACAGGAGTCGCCGAGGGGACCCTCACCACGCCAACTGGTCACCCTGGGGCTACGTCGCCGGGCACAACTCCCTTGGACACATGGACCACCGCCTCCAGCCCAGGGACTCACGGGGCTGCGACTCAAGGTTTCACACGCTCACCGGTGACCACTCCCGGGAGCAGGGGCCCGGAGCATGTGTCCAGGACACGTCCTCCCTTTGAGGAGACGAGCAGCTCTTCCTCCGTGCAATCGGCCCCTAGCACAGCCTCCCCGTCCCCAGTTTCTCCTACAATACGTGAGGGCGCGTCCTCCCCTCCTCCTCTCGTCACCTCCGTTTGGACCTCTGGCCTGCAGCCGGCCACTGACGCCTTGGGCACAAGCGTGGATCCCGGAGCCCGTTCCACTCCACATGTGAGCGAGAGCACAGCGCGCAGCCTGGACTCCACCGCAGCCTCCACAGGTACAGGTGCAGTTCACCTTTCGGGACACACAGCTGAGACCAGTGTGGGGACCACCAGGTCAGGACGGGAAACACCTTCCTCTGTGCCAGGTGAGTCAGCGCCAACCGAAGTGACTTCTCCAGTGGCGACCCCTTCCGTCACGAGGGAAAGCAGAGTTTCCGCACCAGTGCCCGGCTCTTCGGAAACCACTTGGTCTGAGACAGAGTCAGCATCCTCCACGAGGCCCGGCCTGAGGGAGGCCAGCACCTCCCAGCCCGTGAGCTCAGCCGCGGAGACAATGCCCGTCTCTTCCCACGTGCCCACTGGTGATGGTGCTACTGAGGTCTCCGGGACAGAAGGCATGTCCTCCAGCGGGACATTCTCCTCTGGCCCGGCACACTCCTCCATGTCACCAGACATCTCCACAGGCATGCGGGGGCTCTCGACATCCCCAGTCATGACGGGAGTCGCCGAGGGGACCCTCACCACGCCAACTGGTCACCCTGGGGCTACGTCGCCGGGCACAACTCCCTTGGACACATGGACCACCGCCTCCAGCCCAGGGACTCACGGGGCTGCGACTCAAGGTTTCACACGCTCACCGGTGACCACTCCCGGGAGCAGGGGCCCGGAGCATGTGTCCAGGACACGTCCTCCCTTTGAGGAGACGAGCAGCTCTTCCTCCGTGCAATCGGCCACTAGCACAGCCTCCCCGTCCACAGTTTCTCCTACGATACGTGAGGGCGCGTCCTCCCCTCCTCCTCTCGTCACCTCCGTTTGGACCTCTGGCCTGCAGCCGGCCACTGACGCCTTGGGCACAAGCGTGGATCCCGGAGCACGTTCCACTCCACATGTGAGCGAGAGCACAGCGCGCAGCCTGGACTCCACCGCAGCCTCCACAGGTACAGGTGCAGTTCACCTTTCGGGACACACAGCTGAGACCAGTGTGGGGACCACCAGGTCAGGTCGGGAAACACCTTCCTCTGTGCCAGGTGAGTCAGCGCCAACCGAAGTGACTTCTCCAGTGGCGACCCCTTCCGTCACGAGGGAAAGCAGAGTTTCCGCACCAGTGCCCGGCTCTTCGGAAACCACTTGGTCTGAGACAGAGTCAGCATCCTCCACGAGGCCCGGCCTGAGGGAGGCCAGCACCTCCCAGCCCATGAGCTCAGCCGCGGAGACAATGCCCGTCTCTTCCCACGTGCCCACTGGTGATGGTGCTACTGAGGTCTCCGGGACAGAAGGCATGTCCTCCAGCGGGACATTCTCCTCTGGCCCGGCACACTCCTCCATGTCACCAGACATCTCCACAGGCATGCGGGGGCTCTCGACATCCCCAGTCATGACGGGAGTCGCCGAGGGGACCCTCACCACGCCAACTGGTCACCCTGGGGCTACGTCGCCGGGCACAACTCCCTTGGACACATGGACCACCGCCTCCAGCCCAGGGACTCACGGGGCTGCGACTCAAGGTTTCACACGCTCACCGGTGACCACTCCCGGGAGCAGGGGCCCGGAGCATGTGTCCAGGACACGTCCTCCCTTTGAGGAGACGAGCAGCTCTTCCTCCGTGCAATCGGCCCGTAGCACAGCCTCCCCGTCCCCAGTTTCTCCTACAATACGTGAGGGCGCGTCCTCCCCTCCTCCTCTCGTCACCTCCGTTTGGACCTCTGGCCTGCAGCCGGCCACTGACGCCTTGGGCACAAGCGTGGATCCCGGAGCCCGTTCCACTCCACATGTGAGCGAGAGCACAGCGCGCAGCCTGGACTCCACCGCAGCCTCCACAGGTACAGGTGCAGTTCACCTTTCGGGACACACAGCTGAGACCAGTGTGGGGACCACCAGGTCAGGGCGGGAATCACCTTCCTCTGTGCCAGGTGAGTCAGCGCCAACCGAAGTGACTTCTCCAGTGGCGACCCCTTCCGTCACGAGGGAAAGCAGAGTTTCCGCACCAGTGCCCGGCTCTTCGGAAACCACTTGGTCTGAGACAGAGTCAGCATCCTCCACGAGGCCCGGCCTGAGGGAGGCCAGCACCTCCCAGCCCATGAGCTCAGCCGCGGAGACAATGCCCGTCTCTTCCCACGTGCCCACTGGTGATGGTGCTACTGAGGTCTCCGGGACAGAAGGCATGTCCTCCAGCGGGACATTCTCCTCTGGCCCGGCACACTCCTCCATGTCACCAGACATCTCCACAGGCATGCGGGGGCTCTCGACATCCCCAGTCATGACGGGAGTCGCCGAGGGGACCCTCACCACGCCAACTGGTCACCCTGGGGCTACGTCGCCGGGCACAACTCCCTTGGACACATGGACCACCGCCTCCAGCCCAGGGACTCACGGGGCTGCGACTCAAGGTTTCACACGCTCACCGATGACCACTCCCGGGAGCAGGGGCCCGGAGCATGTGTCCAGGACACGTCCTCCCTTTGAGGAGACGAGCAGCTCTTCCTCCGTGCAATCGGCCCCTAGCACAGCCTCCCCATCCCCAGTTTCTCCTACAATACGTGAGGGCGCGTCCTCCCCTCCTCCTCTCGTCACCTCCGTTTGGACCTCTGGCCTGCAGCCGGCCACTGACGCCTTGGGCACAAGCGTGGATCCCGGAGCCCGTTCCACTCCACATGTGAGCGAGAGCACAGCGCGCAGCCTGGACTCCACCGCAGCCTCCACAGGTACAGGTGCAGTTCACCTTTCGGGACACACAGCTGAGACCAGTGTGGGGACCACCAGGTCAGGACAGGAAACACCTTCCTCTGTGCCAGGTGAGTCAGCGCCAACCGAAGTGACTTCTCCAGTGGCGACCCCTTCCGTCACGAGGGAAAGCAGAGTTTCCGCACCAGTGCCCGGCTCTTCGGAAACCACTTGGTCTGAGACAGAGTCAGCATCCTCCACGAGGCCCGGCCTGAGGGAGGCCAGCACCTCCCAGCCCATGAGCTCAGCCGCGGAGACAATGCCCGTCTCTTCCCACGTGCCCACTGGTGATGGTGCTACTGAGGTCTCCGGGACAGAAGGCATGTCCTCCAGCGGGACATTCTCCTCTGGCCCGGCACACTCCTCCATGTCACCAGACATCTCCACAGGCATGCGGGGGCTCTCGACATCCCCAGTCATGACAGGAGTCGCCGAGGGCACCCTGACCACGCCAACTGGTCACCCTGGGGCTACGTCGCCAGGCACAACTCCCTTGGACACATGGACCACCGCCTCCAGCCCAGGGACTCACGGGGCTGAGACTCAAGGTTTCACACGCTCACCGGTGACCACTCCCGGGAGCAGGGGCCCGGAGCATGTGTCCAGGACACGTCCTCCCTTTGAGGAGACGAGCAGCTCTTCCTCCGTGCAATCGGCCCCTAGCACAGCCTCCCCGTCCCCAGTTTCTCCTACAATACGTGAGGGCGCGTCCTCCCCTCCTCCTCTCGTCACCTCCGTTTGGACCTCTGGCCTGCAGCCGGCCACTGACGCCTTGGGC